AGCCTTCTCAACATGAGACCCTAAGATCTAAACCAAGGGATGGCACCTTCCTTAGAAGGTCTAGAACAGGAGATCGGGGATTTGAATCCCAGCGGTGCTTCAACTAAACTTTCAAACTCTTTCAAAGATCCAAACCAAGAACAACCCAAACTGTGAGCTAAAAAAAAACCCTTTTCTCTTTCTACAGTTAGCTGTTTCAGGTATTTGGTTGTAGTACTGCCAAGCTGACTAACACAGAGACCATATTTCCTGTAAGTCTGAAATACTTACTCTCTGGTCCTTTACGACAAAGTTGTCTGGGATCCACGTGAAGAAGTAAGGGATTTGACACTAATAAGTAAGTGGCTCCTGGCATTTAGAGAGGACCAAATGATTGGACAGATGATTTAGACAATAAACAACTTCTCACACCGTGCTCAGTTCTCTGACTAGCAACCAGCATTCCAGATAGGGAAAGGGATGATGAATCCTTTAGGATTTTCCATATTCCAAACTGCTTCCTGCCAATATTATTAGGATCATGTTTCCAAAAAACCCGGTCTTTCTCTCCCCTCTCTGACCATAGGTAGGGTCTGTAGGTTCTTCTCATAGCTGTGGCGTTTTATGCAGGAACCCAGGAGCCCGTCAAAGCCCAGGTGTGAGACTTAGAAACACAAAGCTGGATTTTTTGCAAGCAAAGTACATGAGGAGTGGGAAAGCCTTTATCTATACCAATCACAGACAAAGGTTGGCTGCGATGTGCTGGGCTGGGGTTTAGCTATTTGATTTTCTCAGTGACTCCAGAGCAGGCAACTGCCCTTCATCCTGGGTCTGCCAGGTGACCAGGAGAAAGTGCCCTTCCCTCTCCAGGCCTCGGCTCCTGGTTAGTCAGACGGGTATGAACAGCACAGGAGGAGGCTGGGCTCCGTGCACCACTGCGTGGAGCTCAGCGTGGAGAAGCATCCACTCAAGAAGCAGAGCCGTTCATCATCCTGTTAGTCGTCCAGACCCTCTCCTCCGGCCATTAACCACACATTGCTTCCTCTCAATTTTAATTTGGGAAGTCCAAGGGGGAGAATTCACGTGGAAGGCGGGGGAAAGGCCTCCAGAACAAGCCGACGTTGGAAATACCATCATCGTCTTTGCTCCTGTTCCCCTGGTTTCTTTTTGGACTTCTCAGTTGTAAGTTCAATAATATGACATTCAGCGGCCGCTGCGAGATCCTATGCTAGGTATTGTGCATGCCCAAGGAAGGGAGCAGGTATAAAAATCAGGAAGATTTGGTCCTTTATAAGGAGCCCCCAGGTGCACAAGGGCCTCAGGCAAAGAGCTGGGCTTCTGTTCCAAGTGAGTGGTCACGAGGCGTCCGTGAGCCCGCTGCACCCTCCCCTGCTCTCGGTTTCTTTGATTCCTCAGAAGAGGAAAACCAATGCCTTCCCAGCTCACCCAGGAGATGGCAGGGCGTTAAACACTGAGGGTCCCGCTGCCTTTCTGAGAATTCCAGAGCCTTCCAGCCCCACGGGGACTCCACCCACCAAGAGCTCCCTTGGCAATCAGAGGTCAAGACACCGAGGTTCCCTCTCTGGCCCTGCAGAGGTTAGACAACGTGTGACGCACGCCATTCTCCCAGGGGACGCTCTGTGCCTCTGGAGGGCCTGGCCTCTCCGTCCGTCCTGCAGCTCCCTGTGGCTCACCCTGCCCTCTTCACTCTGTGCTCTGCACGTGTTCAGTGTTGGCCGAGAGCATGGCAGCTTTAGACCAAGAAAGATCAAGTTCTTGTTGTGGGAATTGACACAAAACGGCTGAGAGACCCCGGGCACGGGCCTGGAGAAAGCTCTCCTCAAGGGCCTCCCTCGCAGGAGAGGGTGGGGCTAGCATTTGCCTCCGCGAGGTAGAAGCTCCGGGAAGGAAGAGGAGCGGCCTCTGACATGGAGACAAGAGGAGGGAGCCCACCAGGGTGAGCAGACCCTTGGGCTAACTGCAAGGGAGTCAAGGTGGTGGGACACCTCTGCTCTCAGTGCGGCCTCGAAGCAGCAGATCCCACGGAATGGGAGGAACTCGCACCAGCTTCCCAGATGGCTTTCCCTTCCATAGTGGTGATGATGGTGTCTACCTTTGTGACTCGTACCAGGAATAAATGGTATAAGAACACACTTGACTGTTGCTACAGCTCATTGAGCATGTCTGTGACCATCAGTACCTTTGCCTTCCACATCACCACCACCGTCATCACTACCATCACCATCACGATGATGGTGACGATGACAACGTTGATGATGTTGGTGACAGGATGACACTGATGATGAAGATAATAGGGATGATGATGGGGACAGGCATGATGATGATGTTAGTGAAATCACCATCTTTCTTTTCACATCACCTTCATCACCACCACCATCACCATCGCTATCGTCATCATCATCATCATCACAAACAATATCACCATTGCTGTCATCACCACTACCACCACCACCATCACCACCATCATCATCACCATCATCACCACCATCATCATCACCATCATCACCATCACCATCATAACCCTCATCACCACCATCACCCTCATCACCACCATCATCATCACCACCATCACCATCAGCACCACCATCATCATCACCATCATCACCACCATCATCATCACCATCATCATCACCATCATCACCATCACCATCACCATCATCACCACTATCATCATCACCATCATCATCATCATCACCATCACCATCACCACCATCATCACCACCATCATCATCACCATCATCACCACCATCACCATCACCATCGTCACCATCATCGCCACTATCATCATTACCATCATCATCACCACCATCATCACTATCACCATCACCATTATCACCATCATCATTATCACCATCATCATCACTATCATCATCACCATCACCATCATCAGCACCACCATTATCATCACCATCATCATCTCCATCATCACCACCATCATCATCACTATCACCATCACCATTATCACCATCATCATCACTATCATCATCACCATCACCATCATCACCACCATCACCATCATCAGCACCACCACCATCACCATATCACCATCACCATCATCACCATCACCACCACCATCATCATCACTATCATCACCACCATCATCAGCACCACCCATCATCATCACCATCACCACCACCATCACCATCATCATCATACCATCCTCATTATCATCACCATCACATCATCATCACCATCACCACCACCATTGCTGACACCATCACCATCATCATCCTACCATCACCATCATCATCCTACCATCACCATAATCCACACTGTCACCAGCAGGACCTCAGTTGCCATCCCCACCTTCCCTTTCCACACGTCAGCCTCCTCCTCATCCCAGGAAGCACAGACACAGGATCGGCTCATCCTCTTCCTGGCAGCACGGCTGTGTCCTGACGAGGCTGAGGGAGGGTGTGGACGGAGGGTAGGTGCACACTGAGCAGGCAACACCCTCCATGCTTGTCCCTTAAACGGCGTCCTTTCAACACTTCCTCTGCCCACAGGTCTTTGTCGGGTCTCAGGGAACCCGGTGGGGGAGCACTCACCTGGGTGCAGCTGAGCGTGGTGCCTGCAGTGTACCTTAGCTTTCAGCCCCGCTGGCACACTGACCTGGCAGCCCTGGAGGGAGGGAAACTCACTCACCTGGAAGGTCACAGCAGGTGCCACAGATGGGGCACAGGTGTACGGAAGGCTGTGGGTCAGAACTAGCAGAGAATCCTGCAACTTCAAGAAGTGCCCAAGCAGCTGTTCCCTAGGAGTGGGCATCATGGCTGAGAGGGTCACCACTGGCACCGTGTGACACACAGAAGGTGCACAGCAAACAGATGGTGAGCGGGTGCGTGGCAGATGCATGAACTGCGCCATGACACTCCAGTGTCAGCTGCTCGTTCCCTGGTGGTGCTTGTCCCGTGGGCTGGGAATGGGAATCCCTCCTGACAAACGGCAGTGGCCCCCACAGAGGGGGGAGTGGGGAGGCAGAGCTCGTTTTCTGGTCGTGCCAACTTTTAATTATTTATTAACAATTTCCCCCACGAGATGGTTCTCGGCAGAGAGGTAACATCTGTTTGTGAGGCTCTCTGGGAGGCCACCAGAGAGATCTCGACACTCTGCAATCTGCCCCACAGGAACACGCACAGGTGCTCTCAGCCCGCTCCCACCTGCTTGGTCAGGTGGGACAGGCAGCTCTCTGCAGAGTGGGCATTAAGATTGGGTGCCCCCTGGAGGCAGGGTGGGCACCCACAAGTTTGATCAGCGGGGCAGGAGGGCAGGCCTTTGTCCTCCAGCTCCCCAGATGTAGGTCTAGCCAACAGCAGAAGGACAGAGCCAGGGCGGTGGACCTTCAGATGGCCCTGGCCCAGCACTCGGACAGGAATGATCCTAGTGTCCATGTCCCAGGAAGGCTATGAGAGATGTGGTTAGGAAGGATGGGCCTGGGGTGGGGGCCAGAGGCAGGAGCTGCTGGCAGCCTGCCCCTCTCCCCTGCCCCTTGCTCCTGTGGATGGGACACTGGGAGGAGGGAGGGGGAGGCCCTGTCTTCAGGCATGTGCCTGCATGGCCAGCAGACAGCTCCTGGCCAGGCTCTGGGTGTCCTGCTGCTGAAGCAGCCTGTTCTTCTGTTCTGCCGAGCCCACTGCCCACCTGCCTTCCTTCCCCCACCAGAGAGAGGGACAGGCAGGGAGGGCAGACCATCTGTGTTCAGGTCCTGGGCCACCCTGGCCTTTTCGGGGTTAGACCAAACCTGTCCTCACCCCCACCATGCTCATGGGTGCAGAATTCAGGAGCAGAACTCAGGTGCAAGGCGGGGCAGGAGGTCCTCTGGGAAGGTCTCCTTGGGGCCCATCTGAAGCCAGTAAGAGCAGCAGGCCAAGGACACAGCCGCCTGGGGCCAGTCTTGGCTCAGGGCCTGCGAGCCCAGGCCAGGAGCGTCCCTTCCTGACCCAGGCGGGAGCAGCTGGGCGGGAGCCCTGGCGCGGCCCTGACGCTGTCTCCTCCTCCAGGTTTGGCTGTGCATCAGATCATCACCATCACCGTCTCCCTCATCATGGTCATCGCTGCCCTCATCACAACTCTTGTCTTAAAAAATTGGTAAGGCCTGGAAATGGGGGGCTGCGGGGTCCCCAGGGAGGTGTGCACAGCGAGGCGCTGACCTGTCGTCTCCGGCTGGGAGGTGCAGCCTCCGTGTCGTTTTCCCGTTTGGGGAAGGACGGTCCACGCAGCCTGGCCTGGGCCCCTTGGCCGCCGGCTAGGCGGAGTCTGCTCCATGACGTGGCCTTGCTGTGGCTTCCTTTGCAGCAGGAAGCCGCGGACTCAGCTTCCCAGGACGCCTTTGCCCCCGTCCCCAGCTCTGCTCCTGGATCCCTGTGCACCTTGGGGTGCCCCCAGCACAATCTCTACTTCATCACCCCCAGGCCCTTCCCTAGAAAGGCAGGGACCACCCTACCTGCCCCACGGTCTGGGGTGGCCAGTGGCTGGCCAGCCTTGCCCAGCCCCTCCCCTGCCCTCTCGTGGCCACTGTTTCTGAAGCAGGTCACGCTTTGCCGTGGGCAGCCTGCCTTCACCTGTCCCTCGTGGAAAGTGGCCTACTTTGGGGCCAGCCTTACTGGGTACGCACACCTGACACACTCCTGAGCCACCCAGGGAGCTGCTGGGTGACCCTGCCGCCTGCAGCCACCCGCAGCCACGGTGCCTCCAGCTAGCTCAAGAGCTTCAGGTCCCCGTGGGGCAGCTGGCCCCAGGTCCGCCAGCCTGCAGACACGATGTGAAACAGACAGGGAGGCACTGGAGCAGGAGACCAGGCACCTACTGGTGGGGTCTGACAGAGGGGGGTGGGGCACAACCCAGGAGCCCCCCCCAGATGCCAGTCCTCCAGGCTGCCGCCTCCTATAGCCAGCCCAGGGGCCCCACCTGTCCTCGGGGGCAGGAGACGAGGACAGCTCCGGTTGTCCTGAAGCAGTGGAGCTTCTCAGGCAGGGCTGGCCCAGGCCGGGGTTAAAACCCCTGGATCAGATGGACGTCTAGCAGGACAAACCCCTTGGGCCCTCTTGGGAAGGGCATCATGCCCTCAAAGGGGACAGGGCATAGTGCCCTCTCCGTGGCAGGTGGCCCAGCCGTCCTCTCGGTTCCTAGACACCTGGTCTGCAGGAAGACGCCAGAGTCCCGGGAAAACCTCCCGGGGGCGAGGGGCCATGACCAGGGGGTGAGGGCCATGACCAGGGGCCTCCTCTGTGGCCTTGGCCTGGTGCTCACCTTCTCCTTTGGGGTGGGGAGGCCACTGCAGGAGGCAGAGCCAGGGAGTGAGTGGGACTTCCGGAAGACAGGGTCCCCACCCACCCAGCGTGTCCCTCACTTCACACGGGCTCTGGGAATAAAAGGGGGACACGGGGAGACAGACTCCACAGGGGGTGTCCTTGGCTCCCCAAGCTACAGGAAGGTCCCCCAGCCACCCCCTCAACCTCCTCGCAAACTTGTCCTAAAAGGGCACCCAGGAGGCCACCGAGTGCCTGCCCATTGCATGCCTTCATGAACAGGGGCAGGAGTCCCCTGCTCAGCCTCAGTGGCCTCTGCAAGCCCCTGAGATCCAGAAAGAGGGATGAGGCCGAGGACGACAAGCCGGAGAGCCCCTGCAGACCCTGTCAGGGACGAAGGATACACCAGGCTCCTCTCTGGCTTGTGAATTGGTTGGGCTGAGGACGGGGAACCCCTCCTTATCAACTCTCCCTGGAGACTGTCACATGGTCCACCCCCGACTGGACCCCAGGGGTCCCCCGCCATCTGGCCCCCCGGCAGCGAGCACCACCAGTTTGCATGCTGAGAGGTGCCTGTGGGACCCGGGGTCAGCTCCGTGGTCCGGTTGGCATCCTTCAGCTGAGCAAGGCCTGCAGCCCCCCCTCTCAGCCGACAGCGCTCCCTGAGCTCATGGCCATATTTAAAATTCAAATTTTGTATTTTAAAAAAGCGCTGATTGCTTGATTGTGGTTGATCTTTCTGAAGAGGCTGGGAATTACCATCTAATATTAAATGGCGTCTGCCTCGTGCCTGAGGGACGCTTCCACCTGCAGCGGGCGAGCGGCAGGTCGGGCCCTGCCCGCCCCCCACCCCGAGCCCTCTCTCTCCTAGCTGCGCCCAAAGCGGGAACACCCGGAGGAACAGCCACCAGCGCAAGATCAACCAGCAGGAGGAGAGCTGCCAGAACCTGACGGACTTCACCCCGGCCCGGGTGCCCAGCAGCATGGACATCTTCACGGCCTACAACGAGACGTTGCAGTGCTCCCACGAGTGTGTCAGGGCGTCCGTGCCCGTGTACACCGACGAGACGCTGCACCCCTCGGGGGAGTACAAGTCCACGTTCAATGGGAACCGGTAAGCTCAGTGTGGGCAGGTCCCACGCGCTGCTCCTGGGTCGGACCCTGGCGCTGGCTGTGGCCCCGCTGCAGCCCCTGGACAGGTCCGGTGGCCCTACAGACCACTGAGGGGCCAGCAACGCAGACAGCCACTTTGGCCAAATAAGAGGAAGGTGGTAGGTACCCATGGGCACGTCGCCTCCCCCAGGGAACAGCAGCGTGGCGGGAATCCCCAGGTGTGGGCAGGGAAAGGTGCCGCGGGCTCCCCTGCGTTCTCTGCTACATGGGGCAGGCAGTGCCCGTAACCCCGGGGTTCAAAGCCAGCCATGCAGCTGTCCCTCCCGAGGATGGACACGTTAGACTTGGCCCTGCCCAGAGTCAGGGTCTCTGCGACCCGGCAGTAAGCATCAGCAGCACGTGGGGCAGAAAGACCAGATGCCAATCAGAGTCCAGACGCGGCTTATTAAATGCTCTTTTTATCATTCCCGTGCAATCCCTCAAAGAAGACACCCTCCTCCGGCCACCCCTGGGGTGTTGGAGAAACCCTGAGTCAGCTTCTCAAGGTTTGTCCAGAATTAAATTAAAATATCAATCAGCTATTTTTTTTAAAGTGAGCAGCCCTCGTGCATCATTTTGTAAATTTAAAAAGAAAAGTACCCAACAACTTACAGACCTCAGGGAGAAGGGAGCAGGCTCCAGGCTGACCTGAGGGTCCCCTCCCCACAGGGAGGGCAGCCAGGACCAGCCCTGGCACTCCTAAGAGTTCACCCAGGAGCCTCACCTGGGGTGGCCTTGGGGAAAGGTGGAGAAGCCACCTGCCCTGTCTCTGATTTGCTTGGGGACAGGGAGGCAGGGCCTTGGCAATCAAGGGCTGCCAGGGCCACCTCTGGTGTCCGCGGTACTGTGGGCTCCCGATGCTGCAGTGGGGACTTGCTGAAGTAGCTTTGAGGCGCCTGGGTCGTCTCTCCTGAGGCTCCCTCCTTCCCACCCAGGGAGCCCAGCCCTGCACAGAGGACTCAGAGCCGCCGCTCTGAAACACTTTGCTCTCACCCGTGGACGTCGGGGGAGTTCGCTGGGGACACCCTGGCCTTCCAGGGGGCTGTGCTCACAAAGAACCAGCAGAGGGGTTTTCAGGCCATCCCACCAAAAGCGCAAGCACTGGCTTGGCTGAGTCCTGGCCCAGCACCCATGCTCCGGCCTCTGGGGAGGGGACTTTGGGCAGGGGCTTGTTTTTCGTGCTGTTCCCCTGCATGTTTGAGTCCAAGGGCGGGGTCAGCACAGTGGCACGCTCACGCCCTGCGTAGAGGCCCGGCTGGAATGGGTTCTGGCGTTTGGCCCAAGGTGCTCTCTGCTGGATGTCACTGGCCTTGGGACACAGCGGCCTGGACTCCAAGGTGATGAAATAAAGAGCCACTGCACAAGGCCCTCCTGGTCAGTGCGGCACATCAAATCCCTGCCTCAGAGACACAGGCCCGAGCTCTAGGCTCACCCTGGCAATTCCAGAACTGAAATCTGGGGAGAGCCTGAGTGTGGGGCGCCAGCCTTCCAGGCCCACGCCAGAGTCTGCACACCGGGGCCTGTGTGCGGCAGCCCTCCAGGCCGGAAGGAAGTGTCGGTGAGCGTAGAACTCTCCCTGCCCCGAGACGGGGGTGTCCCTTCCTGAGCAAGGCCAGAGGCCCCTTACACATGGCTTCTCAGGATCCACCTGGGGACACAGAATCCTGTAGAGGACATTCACACCCATCCCTCTGCTCTCCACAGGTCCTCCTCTGCTGACCGGCATCTCATCCCTGTGGCCTTTGTGTCTGAGAAATGGTTTGAAATCTCCTGCTGACTGGCGGAAGGCTTTTTTACCTCCTGGGGGCAGGGCGGACGCCACGTGTCTGCTTCAGGTTTGTTCCTCTCTTTGCTCTTGGCGTGTTCTCCCTCCCCACTACCGCCCGCACTTTGGGATAATTGGGGGTCCTTTTCCTGGGAGTGGCTTTCCCATGAATGCAAACCCACCTGCTGTCAGGCTCCCTGAATGCAATCCACAGGGTGGTCTCTAAGTGCTTGGTTAGGTAGGTCCTGGGTCCCCAGGAGCAGCCCAGACCCGGGCAGGCTCCAGGAGCGAGGTGGCTTGTGTCTCTCCAGCCGTCCTAAGAGGGCCACCCAAGCAGGCCTGCGTGGCAGGGAAACCCGCTCTGCCGGTTCTCGTTTTCCCCAACAGGAAGAGATTAGGGCCACCGCTGCGTGGGCAGGCATGGCACCCCCGGCACACGACTTCACCTGGGAGAGGGCGGGAGGCGGAATGAAAATACAATTTTGAAATATAAAAATAAGAGATAAGAAAGAGCATGATAAAGCAAGAAAGTGAAGAGTTGAGGCCTCTACTAATTTGAAGCCAGGGACAGCACCAAACCAGGATGAGTCTTCCACGCTCTGCTGGGTAGGGACATTTCGTTGGCTTTCAGCGATATTAACATGGATGCTGACGTTAAATTGCTTTCTTCTGTCTGGATCTCTGAGCGTGGGGCTGCCGGGGAGAGAGTGTCCACAAGCACAGGCCGCAGGCGTGCACCCAGCCAGGGGGTCTGCTTTGTTCTACTGTGTTCTCTGCGGTGTCAGGCTTGCTGGGGACCCTCACCCGCCCTCGGCACACGCTCCTCCAGACCAGGCCTCAGTGCCTTCCAAGAGGAGGAGCCTGTTCCCAGGAGCCGCTGCCCCGCATTTGACAGCAATCTCTGTGCTTGTCCCTCTCCTTTCCCATGAGACAGCCAGTGGGAAAGGCAGTGGCCACAGTGAGGCCAAGAGCCACCAGGCCCCCAGGCTTCGGCTTTCAGCACTTGGCTGGGGCCGAGGGGCGGGCTGCAGGCAGAGCAGGAATGAAGTGGTGGGTTCCTCATCCCAGTGCTAATGAAGCCCAAATCAAATCTCCAGCCCTCACTCCCTGTCCTGAAGCCAGGCTGCTCTGCCCACAGGCCAGCAGAGTAATTAGATCAGACTGAAACAAGCCTCCTGCGCAGGGCGGGCGGCCGCCCAGCCCCACGTCAGGCAGCAGCGCGGGCATGCGCGTCCTCTGAAGCAGCAGTGGGCCTTTGTCTGCTCAACGTGCCTCCCTTTGTTGGGGCTGCAGTCAGCCACCTTTGGTGACCTGACCGAGCTAGCAACAGGGCGCTGCTTGTTGGCAGTGGAGGCCCCGGCACCCTGGTGAGGTATCAGCAGGTCCCAGGGCCAGATGGGCACCAGCGTCCCTCGCAGCTTGAAGGCGGCTTGGATGGACATGCTGGGCCTGCATGTCACAAGCCTCTCTCTGCTCCCCTCTCCCAGGAGCCGTGGCCCTCGGACTGCAGGCCGCACACCTCTGCTCCAGGTGGCCTCCTCAGGGGAGGCTCCCTCACCTGTGTGCTCTGATGGCGGCCCACTACTGGGCACAAGGACTCCCTCGCTCCTCCCAGGAGTCCCACTCTCAAGGCAGAGGGAGGCTAAGTGCCTTGGCCAGGGTCAGTCAGGTTGTCAGTGCAGGGACAGGATCACCCCTAGCTGCCTGTTCCAGGGCTGCGCTCTGCCCACCCGTCCAAAGGCCCTGCTTCCCAAGCCCCCTGCAGGATGACCAAGCCCTCCCACTGGCATGGGCCTCTGTGCCTGCTCCCCCCAGCCAGCCCCAGCTGGCTAGATCAGGGACTGGGGCTCCATAGGCCCAGCTCTGCAGGCGGAGGCCAGCTCCTGAGCATCCAGAGGCCTGACCTGGGGCACTTCCTGGGTCCAGGAGCCTGCAGCCACAGCACACCACTTTTACAAAAACACAAAATTGAGGGGATGGAGCGGACTTGTACTTACTCCTCTACTCTAGAAACGCCTCTACAGGGATCCGCTGTCTCCCCAACCTGGCTGTCCCCTTAGCACCACCAACAGCACTGGTGAGCGCTCTTGGCACAGAGGGCATGAGATGGGGTGCCCCAGACGGGCCCCTGGGCACCCGCTTCCCCACTCTGCCCCAGGAGCTGTTTCAGGACCACCCCCGCTGACATGAAAGATGTCCCTGTACAAGCATCTTGAGCCCCTCCCTGTGGGTCTTGGAGGGGACATCATTGAGTTGAGGAGAGCCAGGCGCCCTGGAGACTCAATCTGAGTTGGCTGAGCTCAGCCTCCACGTCAGCCACACAAAGGCCTCGTTCGCTCCTGGTGACGTTCTGTGGCCGTGGACAGGGAGGGCTGGGCAGGCAACCTTGTTAGTCCTCGATGAATGCCTAAAGGTCCCATCTCTGCATGGTGACAGATCCCATCTCTGTTTGGTGACGAACCATTCATCTCTTGCTGGGATGAATGTGTTGAGATTCTAAAAACCCACGAGTACCTGGGCATGAGCATGGAGCAGAGAACAGCCACAGAGGCCTCTCAGATTTGCTGGGCTACTTACTGTCCCTTAAACAAGTAGCAATTAATACTAGAGCATTAAATTAGGTTTAGTTTAATGTGGAGGTATTCACCTCTTGCGCAGCCATTAAGACACTCCGAATGCATCTCTAGTGGAGAGGTGGCCGTCTGCAATCCTCCTTCCCAGTCCTCACCTTCTCACGCCCACCCGCACACACAGGGGACCCAGCTGTGCCCTCCAGGCAGGTTGTCTGCAGCACCGAGGCTCGTGGGCAGATGTGGCCCACTTCCCTGGGCTTAGCCCCTGGTAGGCTCTAGATGACTCTTGCCTCATACCTCTTCTGCAGTGGGGCAGATAGTTCTGGACACAGAGGAATGTGCCTGGTCTTCCTTGTTCCACGGAAGGGACCTTAGACCCACACCTGTCATTGGCCCGTGGGCTCTATCCTGCCATTTTTCCTAGACCAGGTAAACTTGACAACACCTCATTAGAGTTCCTCCATCTCTTCCCATTTGCCAAAGCCACTTCATCTTAAATGTAGCCTCAAAAGCCATAAGGGCTCTTGAATCCGGAGCAAGTGAGAAATAAATCACTGTTTTATTATTTTCAAAAATACATTGAAGGCGTTGCAGATAAAAAAGTAAGAAATGCACCTGAGCCTTCCCACATTATTACTTTTTCTTTTTTTTAAATGCATTGATAGAGTATCTAGCTTTTGTAATTCCAAGGAACACTTTCTTTTAAAGCAAGAACCAGGGCCTTCTGGACACTGTGCTCTCTGAAATCCGGCACCAAGAACACCCTGTGGGGTGGGGAAGAAACCGACTAGTGGCTACTGGGCCCAGAGGGGACCTGGCTGCAGACACCTTGTTCTCTTTGTTTTACAAAAGCAGATGCTAAGCATCAAACCCAGGAGCCCCCGGGGACATTCACAGCCCAAGTCTCCTCTCAGGCAGCAGAGGGCAGAAGTCATCCCAGATCTTGATCCCGGGGATGGTGACGCACCAGCTTCTCTGCCTTCGCCTAACTTTTTCCAGCCTGGGGGTCCAGGGCCACCTCCTGCATCTTTTCCACCAACCTGGGCTCCGCCTCCTTCTCCAGGCTTAGTGCCCCTGAGGCTTTTGTACTGAGACTTTGGAACAGAAAAATCAAAGCCCTCCCCCTGGGCCAAAGTTGAAGCAGCAGGATTGGTCAGGAACTGAGTGCATGCCTGCGGGTGCCCTGGCAGCCTGGGCTCCCCTTCCTTGGCCTGATGCTAGTACCTGCCCGCCCTTGCAGGGGACCCCCCACATCTGCAAGGAGCCAACACTGGACTTAAAATGGCCATTATAGATGCAGGGTTGAAGCCACCTCTCTCTTCTCTCTAAATTTACCTGGAGACACTGGGGTGGAGAGAGATGCTGTCGAGCGGCTATCACCAATGTCCATCTCCCCAGGCCCCTCCCCAGCCCTGGGTACCCGGTCTGCTGACCTTCTATGAATATGACAAGTCCAGGTCCCTCACATGAGCTGGAATCATGCAATATATATATTTTTTTAAACTTTCAAAAAAAATTCAGATGAAGGTAGGCCTGCCAGAGGAATATCTCTCTGTGTTAAATTACTTCATTTTTTTGAAACCCTTCCCTCTCCCAAATCTTGGAAATACGAAGGAGAGGGTAGGGGACCTAGGCAGAGCAAGCCTCCAAGAAGGCTCCAGTGCTAGACTAAAGGGGACACCAGACCACTGCAGGGGGACAGTCCACAGGGCTGAGTGGCCTCTGCACTGTAGGCCGCATGGAGCTGCCCATATGTGGTTGGGAGGTAGCAGGCTGGGTGAGGGCCGCCATTCACCTCGGCTCCCTGGTCATGGCTGGACGGGGAGTGACCGCGGGGTAGGTGCACCCAGGCCCACTAACGGCACGCCTGGGTGCAGTGCCCGTGGGTCAGTGGAGGAGGTGGGCCCAGCCCCTCTTAGGAAGCAGGCCTGTGTGGACGGCAGCAGCGAACACAAGCGTTGGGCACGTGTCACAGCTCCGGGGCTCCCAGCACTTGCTCCCATTCCTGGTGGCTGACTTCAAGAGAACCTTGGTGTTCTGTGGCCACCGAGTGTCTGTGGACGGACCAGAGCCCCTGGGCTGGGTGTGTGGCGGGGTCCCCTGGGCCTCCTGTACCCGGGCCTGCTGCCATTTAACCTCTTCTGTGTTCTTCCCACCCAGGATTCCGTTGGTGAACCTGTAAAAACAAAACAAACAAAAACACAAAACCTAAAACTAAACTCTCCGAGGGGGAGGTCCCCGCACCTCCCACTTCTGTTTGCCGGTGGGAAAATCCGCAGCAGGACGCTCTAGGCCAAATCTATTTTTGTAAAAATTGCTCACGCCTATGGGTGACTGCCTTCTTCCAGAGTTTTCTTTGGAGAACAGAAAGAAGAAATGCAAGAAGGGGGACCGGAGACAGAGGGAGGCCAAGAGGAAAGGACAGGAGGCCACCAAAGCCTGGGATTTGTACCACGATTCTGAACCTGTGCCAATAATACCATTATGTGCCATGTACTGACCGAGAGCCTCGGCCCAGAGCCGGAGCCGAGCAGATCACGTGTCGAAATCTTACAGAAAACAGGGGTGGGGTTCTCTTCCGATAGAGTCACTATTTCTGGTTAATATACATATATAAATATATAAATACCAACAGACAGACACACACACACGCGCACAAACGCACAAACACACACACACTTTTTTTGTACTGTAGCAATTTTTGAAGACCTTCAATGTTCCTTTTTAAAAAAAATTGTGTTATAGGTTACAAAATCCAATTTATTTAACATGCTTAGTACGAACAGAATAAACTGGTATTTTCTACTCTGGCAACCTCACAGGCATAGCGCGTACACACACACACACACACACACACACACACCCCTGCACACACACTCACACACGCATATATACGCCTATATTGGAAATACAGTTCCACAGGTGAGCATGGTCTTCATTCTTCCTGGTGACCTGGTATTTCATGCATCCTGGGGGACAGCCTCGGCCCAGGTGACGAGGCCCTTAGTGACACAGATACTTGCTGAGTGCCACCAACGTGTGACTTGTCATCTTGGGCCAGAATTAAGAACACCACGGTTTTCTATACATATGTACACACCTGTGCACCCATGTTCCCCTCTGCATTCAGTTGTTGGAAGATGCGATCTAACGGCTGCGCGCACATATGCGTGGCTGGCTGCCGAGAAGGGGCCTGGCCCCAGGCTGGGTGGGCGGTGGGTTCCTGGACATTTGTGTTATACAGCATAGACTGAATTAAAGAAATTTTCCAGTTCCAAACAGCAGAAGCATACATCCTTCCAGGTGTGCGCGCGCACGTCGGGGCCACACGCGAGTGCTCGGGCCCCAGTCTGGGGATGAAAAGCAGCGTGGAGAGAGGGTGCCCAGTACGTTCTGAGTGTCCCCCCACGCCTTGGTGGGCAGGCGCTGCCGCTTTTACTTGGGCCCGGGGTGACTGTGAAGGTCAGTGGGAACCAGGGCAAGTCGCCGCAGCCAGTGTTGCGTTTCCTGGTCAACAACCCCAGCAGGCCCCTTCCCAGGGACACGGGTCCAGGCTGGGGCCTGGTGACAGAGAAGGCCCCCCACCTAGAAATACGGCTCCCTGAGCCCCACGTGCTGTTCGTAGGCACTTGGTGAGGGACCTGGGGATCCATCTCCTGGCCCCACGTCCTGCCCTAAAAGCAGAAGCCCAGATCAGATTTGAGGGTCATTCTCCAAAGGATGAGTTTCCTGTGTGGCCAGCGTGACCTCCATCTCACTAGTAGAATGTGTGACCAGACTGAGGGACCGTGTGACCAGACTGAGGGACCTTTAAAGGCCAGAGAGACGGCAGTGCTTGTGCCCCACCCCGTCCCCAGCTAGTAGGGGACTCAGTCTCCCTCTGAGACACCCTGAAGCATGTGGATATGGAAGCTGTCCCTGGAAGGAAAGGGAAAGGGCTCCTGCACCACGTCCTCCCGCAGGCCACACCCACGCACGGCTCAGAACCAGGGAAGTGGTTCTTTTGGTTTTTGGTCTTTGTTTTGTCCTTTTCCTTGAAGATTTGGCACTTGCCAAGACATGGCCAGCATCTGCCCCTGGCCCTTGGCTGTCCTGGGTTCCTGAGACTCAGACTCGCCTGCATGGCATCTGTGTAGTGTCACCTGTCCCCTTGAGCCCCTCTCTCCCTGCAGGTGGGTGCCGGGCCTCCCTTGCTCTAGGCGAACACAGCTCTGTGTGAGCACACCACAAGGGCTGGCGGCTGGCCAGAGGCGGCCCAGCTGGACTTGGGTGTTCTGAGTGCCAGGGAGCCCAGTCAGGAGGCTGACCCTCCCCACACCCTGCAGCAGCCTCTTGGCGTGGGCTCAGGGCAGGGCTGCGAGTTCCCCCCAGGGATGAGCCCAGAGAAGCAAAGGTGGCCCAGTGCACACCAGTCTAGAGAGTCCATGCTACTCCAGCAACACTCCCTGGGCACCGTGTCCCTGTGCAGGAGGGAGGGAATGCAGAGATGTCCACTGTCAGGTGCTTGCCACACCCCTCTGACCCAGGGAACATCTGTGGCCTTGGGGGTGGCACAGGAAAGGGCTCAGCCCACCGCAGTGAGGGATGCCCAGCTGCAGCTCAGGGTGCGCTGCATCAGGCCAGGTGCAGGCTCAGCACTCGTCCACCAGTGGACACCCCAAGCCCCAGGCCTTGCCTTTTCTGTGACTTTTTTCCTCATAAGAAGTGTCCAAGAGAGGGTGACACAGTTTGGTGAGGTCCCCAGATTTTTGTCTATTCCCCTGTGTACCTTTGGCTTCCCTGTCACAAGTCCCCGAGGCAGCATGCTGGCCAGTGTCCATTGGCCACCTGTTGACCCTTTAAGTTTTTGAAACAGTCGGTTTGGCTCTTGAGAGATATCTGCTCTTTCCTGAAGGCTTGGTCACTTTACATGCCTGATGTCACTTTTATCTGGCTGGGATATGAGTGTAATGGCTTTTGTTTCTGAGCTTTGGGTGTGAAAGGGGAGCGTCCTGAGCCTTCCTCACTGGGCCTGGCTCCAGCAAAGTCCAAGGTAAGGCCAAGCCGTGTGCCTGCCCACGCCCCTCCATCTCTGCCCTCTGGGGCTCTGTGTGGACTTGTGGAGACCCGGGTAGGGGCTGTAAGGGTTCCCGCTCAGGGTGGGTGTTGCACAGAAAGGACACACCCTCGGATTCCTGCTTCTGGCCCTCCCCAGGCTTGGGTCTGAGCAGATTCCTCCTGCGGCCTTCAGTGCCCAGGCACCTCTGTCCTTCCTGAAGCATTTCACACTCAAACTGAGACTCACCAGAACCTCTCCCACTGTGAATTGCACCATCAGGAAACCAGCCATCGCCACTGTGCTTTCTCCATCTTGCGTTCATCTTTCTTCTCTCCTCACAGCCATGTTCTGACATCAGGCAGAACCTTCCTTACGGGTTTTGATATTTAGGCATTTTGTGCGTAGATGTCCGATCTGGCAGCAGGGTCATAAAATGAGCACATCACTGTGGACTGTCTCTGCTTTGACTCTCTTGCCCACGGAGAGAGATTCCATCCTTTCAGCTTCTTCCAGATGGTCCAGAATCTTCCAAAGCTGAGAAAGCTGAGCTGACTCCAGTGTCTTGGAAGACAAAGTAGGGAAACAGCCCTGAGTCTGGGATCCCAGTAGCATCAGTCAGGCTGCATCTTCCCAGTGGTTCATTCCAAAATGGCGCCAGGACCTACCTTTCCCTTCTCCCTCGGTCGCCATCATCCCCCTGTTTCATCGGGGAGATCTCAGCATCATGGAGCCTGATGCTCCACTGGGTTATTCTCCTCCCGTTTTCCGCAAACACATCCCTCCAGTATGATGGAAAAAGCGCCCAGACTCCTGACTCCTGGAGCCATTCTTGCTTAGTTGGTGAGTTCTTTAACAAGACGCCGCTCACACCAGCAGATGGAAGGGAGGCGGCTCTTCCAGACTCACCATAATCGGCCCATTGTGCGTCCATCCTCTTATTCACAAGAACTCCTTGTTCGCCATGGTGGCCATATGGCTGGGAGCAAGAGGAGCAAAGTCCTGCCCTTGGAGGTGCATTCTACCATGGGAGGAGCAGATACTTAGCAAAGAAGCACACAAAATAGTTTTGAGAGAAACAAAAGAGGCAGAGCAGCCGGAGGGGAGCAGGTGTCTGTACGTCCTCCTGCCATCCGTCCCCTGGGGAATCACCACTAGCTCACTGAAGGACAGTGTGGGGTTGGAGGGGCAAGAAGAGAGCCCACGCTTACCTCTTGGATAAGAATACAGTGCATGGCTGAGGGTAGGACGTCCATCATCACCACGGCTCTGCCTGGCTTTGCACCAAGGCCCTCGCGCCTTGCAGCCAGGCAGCCAGGTGGTCCTCCAGGGGAAACAGGCAGGGCCAGACCCTGCCCTCCAGCCATTTCCAGACCCCAGTCAGAACTTGCCCCGTCTGAGTGCTGTCTGCCCTGGACCCTCCTCATGCTCATTCCACCTGCCAAGTCAGGTCAGCGGGTCTCAAGGAGGACGGGGTTTTTGGCCAACAGAGCCAGCCAGAGGCAGCCATCTTTTCTGGTACTGGAAAGCAGCTGCCTTTTCAAAAATTCCTCCCAACACAGAGCACACTCCCTTCATCCTTCTTAAACAACATCTGCTTTTAAGTCAGCAGTTATTCCAAAACAGGCCGTGATTCATGTAATTTTGGAATGGTTACTTCGGTGCAGTTTGTCAATTTGTTCTGCCCTCCTGCTTTCTGATTGTTTGTTTGTTTTCCAATGTAAACAGCACAGCCCACATAAATGAGCCAGGCTCTGGTTGTCGGAGACTCTCTGCGCACTCTTCCCACTATCTCCACGTTGATGCTCTGTGAGGAAGACAGGCTCCTTCACTCTGAGCCAAGTTAGTGCGTCAGTTACTCTCCACATCATCTGTGGGGCTCCCCGAGAGGCCTTGAATGATTGTTTGGCACTTAGAATACACCACCAGCCTTTCCTTCCAAGGAGTGTGAAGTTGGTTGTGCTCGGTTTCTCCTGATTTCTGGTTTAGAGCTCGGGTTTGGGTGTACGGAGCGAGTAGAGAGGTTTAGGGGGAGCGTGGTTCTGTTCCCCGTCCCTGGCCATCCAGCAGAAGTGCAGGCTTCTGCCCTCCAGCCATTTCCAGATCCCAGTCAGCCAGCACGCAGGGGCCAGGCTGCAGAGTTCAGGGCGGTCACTGTGTGGCCAGGTGGTCCCGAGCCAGGAATCTCTGCACAGCTCACGGAAGTCGTGATTGTCACTTTGTCAGGGGCTGGGCAGCTTCTGCCTACCCGGAGACCAGAACAGCCAGGCCAAAGTGCTGCGGTCTGTCACAGGGTGTAGACCTGGTGGCTACAGCCAACTGAGGAAGCTGGGTGCACCTTGGCAGCCAGGTGTGGAACCAGCCGGGAGCCTCCCCGGGCTCTTCAGAGCAATGGCGGGTGGACACAGGGCTGGGCTTCTCTCCATGGGTTGCCCTACGCACCTGAGATAGATCCACAGTCCGGCTGTGAGCACACGGCCGCAGCCAGTTGTGAAGACAACCCAGGAGAGTGGTCAGCTCGTGTTAATGCAGCCCGTGTTGGTGCTGGGAGTGTGACGTCAATCCTCCCAGCAGTTCCACTGCCCTGTCCTCCTGACAAGAGTCCTCTCGACTGAACCCATAACTGAGTCCTACTGGGCCACCCTGGCGTAAGGCACAGTATAAGTGCGGCCAGCTTGTGCATCTAGGCCACTTGGGGTGGAGAGAGCGAGACGTGGGGCAGGGGGCACAGGGGCAGCAGCTGTGGCGTCTCCTCTGTAGGTTGGAATCAGAAGGCACACGGGCCACGAACTGTATTCCATCAACTGGGCTCCTGTGCTGAGCCCGGGGAGTGGCTGAGCCTCCCCGAGGGCTGCAGTGGCTCTTGTCAGCCAGTCTCTTGAATCACACAGCCCAACGTCGGCTCCGTAGCAGGCGTGCATGCAAACAGCATCGGGGTGTAGGACATTCTCCTTTATAAGTAAATGAGTTTTGTCTCCGGTGGGTTTTCTCTTACATGGAATGTCCCGGAGACTAGCGTTCCTGTGTTGAACTGAATACCCAAGACAACTCCCTGGAAGCTCGGTCCTGATGCAGGTGAAACCCAGCCGGTCACCTGGCTGCTTAGCTTTTGCCAGATTTTTGAAATTCTGCAATAAAAATCTGTAGTGGCGATGCTTATAGCTTTGAGTTGGCAGATGTCAGATAATGGGAAAATTATCGCTTCCAGAGACTCAGGGATAGCTTTAGCCACGAAAGAAGCAAGAACACTCTGCAGTCCTGAGTTCTGTTTGGGTACCATTATGTCCCGTGAAGACTTGTAGCCACTAGAAATCTAGAATAGGTGGCATTTTGAGAGATCTGTGTATAATTGGCCCCAATCATCGTGTGGGGAACTGAAGGCACCAACACGTTCCACCATCCCGAGGCCACAGTCCCACTCCTGATGGAATCCTCCCAGCCTTCTCCATTCTTCATCCTAAACCAACAGGGGTGATCTCAAACCCACTGTGGCTCGCCATCCCCACCTCCAACCTTTGGAGGATGATTTGGGGATGGAAGGAGAAGGGGTGACGTTCTGGTCTTTGGAAAGCCATGTGCTGTGCGACACAGTGGCAAGGCAAGAGCATTGCTTGACAGGGTTTCTAGATCCTGGCAGCCACCACGTCCAGAAGGAACCCATTTCCTCTGTCCCCAAAGTCTCTGCTGGGTGGGATTCCCCTGCGTCATTTCTCTTGGGTGCGTGTGGATGCCTAATATCAGGTTATGGGGCCACCTACGACGTATGGTCACAAAGCAACAGGGGTGCTTTATCTTGGGTGTGCAAGTCCACATGACCCTAGAAAGTTCTGGGAGTGGGCTCCCTGTGGTACTCCTGGATGTGGTGTCACATCCACCTGCAAGCACGATCCTCCCAGTCAGGAGCCTGGAAGGCAAGGAGGGCTGCGGGTTGGACACCGGCGTGCAGGACAGGTCAGGCATTTGGCCCGCCCTCCTTGGGCTGGGCTCCCAGGACCTGCAGACGTGTTTTCTGGGATTTGCGGTGTCACAGTTGGGTGACCTCCCGTGAAGCCAGGGAGTGAGAGGCTCTGGAAAAGTTCTACCGAGTGTTGATGACTTTGAGCCTTAAAGTTGAACTTCCAACCTGGGTTACACATAGGTTCAGTGTCACATGTCCCAGTGGTCAGTGTGAAGACAGAGGACTCAGTCTGCGGCACATGGAAGAGGGGCGTGAAAGGGAAAGGTGGAGATTTTACACATTTTGATAGAAAATACTATGTTTTAGTGAAAATCTGAAAGTTGTTTTCTTAAAAAACTAGAGAGTTTTGCTTTTTGATTTTCCTCATTTTCTGGTGGCCCCCTCAGGACCGTTTATTTCTCTAACTTTCCTCAACAAACACGATGGCGGGTATTGGGTCCAGGGCAGGGTTGCCCTCCAGTTGAAAAGGAACTTGAGTGGCCTCAGTGATCACGTTTATTTGATTCACCGTTGGTCCACGGATGGATGAAGATGAAGGGGTCTGTAAATACGTCACTCCATCCCTGTGCCACTCACTGCTGGGGAGTCTCCAAGCGAGACCCAGAAAGGGTTAAACTAGGTGCTGGAGGAAGCTTAAGGCAGTGCATAGATAATTCATTTTTAAGTCTTTCATGATTTTTTTTCCCCAAAAAAGGAATACATGTTTACTGCAGAACACTTAGAAAATTCCAATAGCCAAACAGAAGGGAACATCTGAAATCCTTCACTCATTGTTTAATTTTCTGGAAACCATTCCCTCAATGCTGCCTGGTGGGGAGAGCTCCGTGCTCCCTGCTGGGTTAACACGGAGGGGTGCAGGTTGGATCTGGCCCCAGACTCACTGTGTGAGGAGGAAGCCCAGGGAGCGCTCTGTGCGTGCTGGCCAGGTGAACTAGCCTCAGACTGCACTGGCCACGACCCTGAGGGCATCTCTGTGAGTAGGTGGAGAGGGCAGCCAGCCAGGAGGACGCTGGGCTGGGCTTTCACATCATCAAGCAGTGGACACGGGGCCCATCTGGGCGTGGGGATGGGTACACAGGATGGTGGGGACACCCAGATGGCGGACAGACACACCTGAGGAGCAGAGGGCCACTTCCGTTTCCCACTGCCACACTCCCGGGGTGTTGGAGTCCGGCTTGAGCTCACCAGGTCTTGTCACGTGAACTCAGCCAAAGCCCGTTGTCCCCCGCCCCTCCCAGCTCACCCATGGAGCTGGAAACACAGACCAGGGCCAGAAACACCGGGCAGCAGGGCCCAGGGTCTGCCTCCCCAGGCCTTGAGCCGAATGTGTGGACCTTCCCTCCTCCCTCTGCTCCTGGACAGCAGAACCGAGCTGATTTTGATTTTACTGAATTATTTTCTGATACAATGAACCATTGGCTGTCTATTTGTACTTGGACACGAATCACGTGTTCTTTTTGGGAGGGAAACAGAAGTCCCAGTTTACACGTTCACCACACGTCCCCGTGGCTGTCTCTGGACACGTCTTCGTCTCCTTCTTGGAAGGGTTCAATTATTGTGTTAATGCTGTGTTTTTCCTTTAATGCAAACCATGATCATGTCAATAAACAGGAGCAACGCAAATATTCAGGTGGGGGGAGGGGGCTCGGGTGGGTGTCATTCCCTTACGGGATTGGGGGGGGGGCATTTATTCCAGATTTTTAAAAGTTGTTTCTGTATTTCAAAGCTATGTATTTGGAAAACATTGTAAATGCGACATATATATTAACTTTCCTGTGTATATTTAGTACTCTGATATTGCTATTAAAAAATAATATAAAAAAAGACAAAAGCATCTCCGTGAGTTCAGGCTATGGCCTCAAGAGGGTTTTTCTTAAGTGGATTTATTTACTCACTCTTTGCTGCTGCTCTCTGAGACCTCCTCTGAGACCACGGCATTGGAGCTCCTGGCCCTGGGTCACAGTCCGCGATGTCCTCCCTGGGGCTCCACGGTTTCCGAGCCGGTGCTCTGCCAGGTAAACCAGAAGGAAGCATCGCCACATGCTGTCCAGGCCCTGTGTTGGCTCTAGGAGTCAAGGCTGATCCCAAGGTCCCTCAGGTGGTGCTGGAGATCCCCCAGGTCAGGGAGTGCCCAGGCCTCCTGGACAGGTAGTGAGAAGCCAGGTAGCATCTGCAGCGTCCTGCTGAGGGGACACTCCATGCCAGAATGACGGGCGGAGTCCAGGCTGGGCATCTGCACCCAGGCCAGAAGCGCCCTGGGGCCTGGGCTGTCAGAGTCAGGGACCAGGGGACACACGCAGCACTTATACAGGCCAGGGCGAGCTCTGACCACACCAGACAGGCCACCTCTGGTCTGCTGGGGTGTGAGCATCTCTGCTCAGGTTCCCTCCAGCCCAGGGTTCCCAGGGGGGCTGAGACGCTTCTCCCGCCCTGGGAACATCCGGCATCCTCAGAGATGATTCTGGTTGTCACGACTGGGCATGGAGGGGCCAGGGATACTGCTCGACCCTTCCTGCACAGCTCCCATCAAAGACTTCTCTGGTCCCAGAGGTCAGTGGTGCCAAGGCTGAGACACACTGCTCGGGACCCTAGAGGGACGGCAGACTTCTCCTGCTCTGTGGGGAGGGGGCTCTTACCCCAGAGGGGTGGAAGGGAAGCACTTTTCTGAGATGTGGAGGGTTTCCTGACCCCAGGCCAGCTGGATCGAGGCTAGTCTACAAGGGCAGGAGGACAAGGAGGCCTTGATCCAGGGAAGCCTCCACTTGGCCCAGGTGTCCCCACGCCTACTAAGTGCCTTTCGAGGTGGCTGATGTCACACGTCACCACGGCCAGACAGACGTGTCCATTGTCCCATTTGCTACATGGGATAGAAAAAGACCCAAAGAGGGCACCCAGCTTCCGAAGGCCCAGTAAGCCAGGAAGGGGCACCAAGCTGGACCAGCACCTCGCTGAGTGCTTGTGCACCCCGAGAACCGTCGCTGCTCGGCTGGCTCTTCCTTCCTAGCAAAGCCACCACTGAGGCCGAGGACCAGCAGCAGCACAGTGGGAAGAAGGAGGTCAGAAGAAGAACAGACAGGGCCACACCTCAGGACGCCCCAGAGCCAAGGTCTGCTGCACTGGGCACCAAGGCCTCGCCCGCTTCTCTTCAAAGGAAGCAGCTCAGACACAGCGTGGCGGCGTTTGTAGGCGGCGGGTAGAGCATTGCCAGCACACCGGGAGGGCGTTGGCTCCCAGGCAGCTCTCCGGGCCACTCCTCCAGGCCCAGGACAGATGGAGCCGGGCCAGGTACCTCGTCTGGTACCCCTCACAAGCCCCCACAACCCCACTTCCCTCCCTGCTGCCCCAGCCCCCCGGGCGCCTCCGTCTTGACATACACGCCCAGGAGCGCCTTATTGGTGAGGCTGTGGGCTGGCAGATGGGTGAGATGACCCCGGGCCCCCAGGGAAACCTCCCCTGAGTCAGTGAGGGGCTAGCACTCTGGACACGCTGCTGCATGGGTGCAGAACTGTCTTTAACAAGCAGAAAGAACAGCACCACTTGGTCATTTACTGAGTTAAACATATCGACAGTCTGGATGCCATTAAAATAAACTCAATTTGCTCAGCAGTGAGAGGGAAATTGGGTTTCTAGTATCCATTTTCTAGAGCATACAGCTCTTGCCTTTGAATTGAAGCCAAAAAAATAAACAGGGGGCCCCAATACAGCTGAATAAATTAGGCAGGGATGGCCACGATGGGTTTCCAAACACAACGTACAGCATGGCCCTGGGAGGTCCACAGAGCAGGAAGAGGGCTGAGCGTGGGTGGGGTGTGTTGAAGGTCTTCACTGCTGGGGTCCCTACCTGCCCCAGGGAGGGCCAAGAAGGCGGGGAAGCCCAGAGGGACTCCCACTTCCCTTCCCTCTATAGAAAACTGATTCAATGGGCTGGAAGAGGTGCAAGTTGGGTCTGCTGTAAAGACCTGTGGCCCAGCCGGAGCCACCTGGGGAGGTGGTCTGCCGTTCTGCTGGTGCCCAGCATTCCGCCTGGGCTTCACCTGCAGGATTAACCTGGGAGCCGAGATTCTGGGTTCTAAGATGCACCGTGACACAACGGCAGGGTCCCTTATGACAGTCGCCCCCTGAGGAGGACTCCACCCTAGGCCCCTCCTCCCACAGGGACACTTGGCACTGTCTGGGGACTTTTTTGTTGTCACAGCTGTGGGAGTAAATTCCGCATCTAGAAGGTCAAGGTGCTGCTAGGCCTCCTACGGTGCGCAGGACAGCGCACCCCAGAACCGCCCTGGCCACAAACGCTGCAGCAGTGAGGACCAGGAACCTGCTCCAGCAGCTGTCCACCTTCTCCAGGGGGAGCTGGGGATGGACTGGTCACTCACTGTCAAAGACACTGCATCTGCTGCAACTCTTGGGATGGACCGTCGAGTGACCGCAGCCAGTAGCCCTTCTGGGGAATGAGGTGTTTAAAGAGCGCCTTTCCTAGATTCGCTTTATCTTTTTAGCCTGAGTTTATTCATTTGCTAGGGTCGATGTAACGAAGAGTCAGAAATAAGGTGGCTTAAAGCCACACTAACGTAAGGCTCACAGTTCGGGAGACTGGAAGTCGGGTCAGGGAGTGGGTGTCCGTGCTCCCTCCGAAGGCTCGGGCCTGTTCCTGGCCTCTCTCCCACCTTCTGGAAGTTCCTTGGCTCGTGGTAACATCCGCCCAATCTGCAAACGGCATTCTCCCTGGGTGCCTCTGTGTCTGAACTTCCCCTCTTTGTAAGGACACTGTCCTACTGGATTAGGGACCACCCATACCTGGTCCAGTATGACCCCATCTCAACTTGTGTCTGCAGCGACCCAGCTTCCAAAGGTGGTCATGCTCCGGAGCATTGGGGCTCAGGGCTTCTTCATAGATAGGGGTGGGGGGAGTCAGTCCTTAACACTGGGGCCAGGGTGAGAGGTCACATGGTCCTGGAGTCAGCTGAGTTTTCTTTGTTCCCTCTATATGCTAAGAAAAAGTGAGGTCACTGGTGGTGGGGGGGGACAGAAAAGAGGTTCAAGTTTTATCCACCCCCCGAAGCTGGAGGCCATCCCAGGAAGAGCTGGGGGCAGTGACGGCCTCACCTTCGTCCCAAGGCAGCTGGCTTTCTAGGTGGAGACCCAGCTGGGCCTCGGAAGGGGAAGCAGCTTCCTTTACAGAAACCGTCTCCAGCATAGCACCCTGTGTGGCTTCTGGTTGTCACATTCAGGTAACGCAGCTGAGGTTGAGAGCTGGGATGAGCCCCCGCCTGGGGGAGGGGTGCCGAGCACAGGCTCCCGCAGGCAGCAGCTGTGAGGCCACATTCGCTCTTATTTGTTCTCTTTATTTGCATCGGTGGTTTCTCGTTCCTGTTGCCCTTCCTCCCTGAATTCCTGAACTTCCTGTCTGGCCTCTGCACACCGCTCCTGCAGCGTGGAGAGGCGCAGGGCTCTCTGTCTGCTGTCCGTTCTGCTGTCTCTAGTCCCTGCTGCCGCACTTGGGGAAGGAGGCCCCACAGCAGGCGAGACGCAGGGCAGCCTGCCAAGGGTCTGCTGGGCTTCTCCACGCAGGCTCCTCTGCCTCCTGAGGGCCCGACCTCGTCCTGCACATGGCCTCTGTCCTGACCAGGTCCTGAGGCTCCTTCCTCTCCAAAGCTCTCCGAGTTTCCTGCCTCTTTGAACTTGCACTTGGCTGGAATGATGCAGCAGAATCTCTGGCCTCTGAGCCACCGTTCTCTGGACTCTCCGCATTTCTGGGAGTGAGGCAGGAGGTGCAGGGGCTGCAGGCGGGGGCTAGGGGAGGCAGGCTGCAGTGTGCAACTCTAGCATCTGCCTGGCCACTTGCTCTCCTGCCCAAAGACAGCCCCGAAGTCTGCAGGCCTGGAGCTGTCCGTGGTTCTGAAAAGGGAGACTCGGTTCCCACGCTGTCCTGGGAACCCAAGAACCGATGTCTTCTGATAGTCCCACAATGGTCACCCAGCGCACAGTGACCAGGACCCTTCCTCACCAACGCGAGCTCCCATGAAACTCAAGGCAAGAGGGTTTAGATGGCCTGGGATGGACCATAGCACAGGCTCTACCTTCCTGGGACCGCAAACCACTTGGGATCTCTAGTCCCATTAGAAGCCACAGGCTCCTGGGGACTTGTAACAGGGGTGGTGAGAGCACCAGGTGACAAGGACACTGGAGACCTGCATTGAGCTCGTTCAGAATTCTCTTGTATCCAAGGCAGCTCAGCAGGGGACCTCTCCTCACGATGGGTTTCTTTGGATCAAGGAGGAGAAACAATGACAACACTTTATTTGTAGGCATCTGGCTGAGCTTTGTTCTTCTCTTGGAAAAGAGATCATATCCCAACCACTCCAAGAACAAGGCAGTCATCTGATTCCCTCACCCAGACCCTCGCCGGGCTCAGAGACCATGCACTGTGGCTGAGTAATGGTCGTGACGTGAGTGTCCCCTGGCCCAAGTCCTTATGCCCGATAACATTATGCAGAAAAATAATGAGAACCATTGAAAGATGTGGCTCAGTTTGGGATTGAATTACCACTTAAATCAAACTGACAGTGGGCAGGGGGTTGCGGAATGAAATTAAGGAGGAAGCTGTATTTCAATTGGGAAGCCCTGGGTGCT